GGGTTGAGGGTTTAGGGAATTTAGGGTTGAGGGAATCGGGTTTTGGGGGGGAGCTCGGCTGGCTTTCCTCGGGTGCTTAGTTCTGAGGGCTTGGTGTATATGGTGGCATCACAAAGCCAGGAAACCCTGAGGAAGAAGACGAACAAGGGAGCCCGGCGGCCTCCGGACATCGTCAGGACAGAACGAACACCCCTAACCCCTAAACCCTAACCCTAAAGCCTAAACCCTAAACCCTAAACCACTACCCTTGACCCCCCAAATTGCCCAAAACCCCTGGAGCCCAAAGCCCCAGACCCTGAACCCAAAGCTCCTAACCCTCCAGCCCAAACCACAAATTCCGCAACCCCTCTAAAGCCTACCCTGTAAAAACTCTCTCAGAGCCGGCTGCCTCTTGTACTTTAGGGCTCCGGCATCGCGCAGCGTCAGCGCTTGTCGCGAGCCGTCCGCGAAAGTTCCGAGCCTTTGCCACCAAGAAAACCAGGCTGGGTGGGGTTTATTACCATGCAATGTACTACCTACCTACCTACCTACCTACCTACCTACCTACCTACCTACCTACCTAACTATCTATTATGGTTCTATATACTACCACCCTAAACCCTAAATCCTAAACCCTAAACCCTAAACCCTAAATATACACAGCAAAACTTAGTGCGCCCCAACTCGCTGGGCCCCGAGCAACCGCAAGTTGCATGGCCGATGCTTCTCGGGAACCTGATCTTCTTGCCCGGACTTTTTGGAAGCCCCTACTTGGAGGTTCTTGGGACTTAGTAAGTAGGGTTATAAGTCCCTTAATTGGGGCTATAGGTATAGTTACCGTAATTATAACCCTACTTACTAAGTCCCATGATCCTTTAAGTAAGGGGCGCTCCCTTTAGGGCTCTATGTGGAAGGCTTCCCTCTGAGGCGAGATGCGGATTGTGAGAACCCTATCAAGGAGCATGCTACCGGAACGTGCAGCACCCGCACTCAAAAAAGCCGGACCAATGCTTTCACCTGCGACTTCGCACGGCTCGTGCGCCTCAGCAGTCAGGCAAGAGCTTGAAGATCACTCGCCAGTGCTCCGCATCGAAGTTGTCAACGTCAACCCTGCACATGGGCTTTGAAGGAGCCATCCGAGGCCTCTTTGCCTTCGTCCGTGCGAACCATTCCTTCGTCGCTTTGCGGAACGCCGCATCCATGCTTTCGCACCTGAAAGGGCTGCATCTGCAGGTGGATCCCGTGTCATGTGAACTAAACTTCCCACACCATAATTAAGCCAAAGCCAGAAGACATAGCGAACAGAGGTGTCGGAAACAAACAGCCCCTTGCCTAAGTGGTAGTTGCTTCGCGGCCGCCAGCACAGCAGGTTTTGAGGAGATCAGCGTGCCCTTTGGGACGTGGGAGGTCTTTCCTACAACGGGCCAAGGCTTGCAGGGAGCGGCACTGTTCTGACGCAAGGCCCGCTTCATTTCGTAGGCAGTTTTGGCCAGCACCACCACATCAATTGCTGCGCGAGGCGGAGACAAGTTCCGGACAGCCGTTGACCGAGAGTCAACGGAGTCTCGGCATTCTTTCCACGACAGGCCCGTTATGCGAAGACTGGCATTGCAGATCACGAAAGCCGCCAGGCTACAGTCCTCCTCTTTCAAGTAATCGTAGGATGCGGCAACCACATGGTCAGAAAACTGCTCCTCCAAGACGCTCAAGAGCTGCAACTGCTTGTCGGTCTCTCCTTTCTTGTCTGGCTTCCGGCCGAAGATCTTGGTCTGGTAGTCTGCGAAGCTCTGCGGGATACCTGTGAGATATTTTACAACCTGAATCCGATCGGAAATTTTAGGTGCCTTGAAAAGTACAATCGGATGCCGGGGTATGTTACAGTTAAGGGTTTAGGGTTTAGGAAGGGACCGAAAGCACAAGTATTCGTAGTAGTTATTCCGACCCCGACATTAAGTCGAACCAGAGCGAATGTCACGATCCTCAAGTTCCTCTGAGATTCCTTAACAAAAAGCAAACGGGATCCGTGCGAAACAAACAGGCTGCAGCTGCAAACTCAATTCAGGGTTTGGGGGTGCAGGAGGGTTGCACAATCCGACCAGCAGCTTACACGTGAAATCTTGTCTCGGTTTTGCCTCATCCCCTAAACGACACCGCCCGATTGCTCGTGTTCTTCGTGGTCTCCGCATAGTCCGACGCCATCCAATTTGCCATGTCCCGGTGTAGCACCACTGCAGAAAGGCAGGCGCCACTGCCGATGAAATGCAGAAAGCATTCCCAGTTCTCGCTGCTGAATAGACTAAAGGCTTCACTGGACAGGAGGACAATGGAAGAGGATTCCAGCTTCGACTTTGTGTAGTCCAAGGCCTTCTTCAGCTCCTGTCGAGTTCGCTTTTGCCCGGGAGCTGTCCCATCTCTCAGTTCAGCGCAATCCGTGTTCTTGATCGGTCGGGCAATGTCTCGCCCCGTGGCCTTTGGGTGCCCACGAAATCCCAGGCTCACGCCCCACCTCTCCTGAAGCCACGCCTCGTTGGTCATCAGGAAATCCTGAAAGGCCGAGGTCCCCGTCTTGTGGGGGCCCACGTGGATCACCAACCTGTTTCCCTCGCAGACCTTCTGCCTATGGGGGCTCGAGCTCCTCTCCTTCCTGGCCCTTAGGACCAGGTCTCTTAGGCCCAGGACCGTCAGGGCCAGGGTGACCAAAAAGGCGATGGCGCCCAAAGCCAGGCGGGTCGGAACGGCCATGGGTTTAGGGTTTAGGGCTTATAGGGTTTAGTAATTTAGGGTTTAGGGTTTAGGGTTTAGTAATTTAGGGTTTAGGGTCTGAAAGCACTCTGCAAGACTCTAAGATGCTATGATCAGCCCGGGGCGTGCAGATGCACCTCTGGCTAAGAATAGATTCAGCTGCCACCTGGAAACGGAGTTGTCCTCCCGATCGCTCTAAACAGTCTCAGGGACTGCAGCCTGCGGATTTCTGTACATCAACCCACCATAAAAACCATGTCGAAGGCACTGCTCAGTTCATTCCAAATCACATTGCCAACACCGAACAGGGATCAAACACCGGCAAGACCAACACTCTGTTAAGGGTTTGGGTTTTGGGTCCCTCTGGTTTCGAGACCGGCTTTTTCGGATAGTCGGTCTTCATAGTCTGATGAGGTACTACACGTAGCTCACCCTGAATACTGCGGATTCAACACCAGTAGAATGATTCAAAGCAAAGGCAATGTCCCCTCAAGGCTCAACCCATAGTCTACGAACAATTTTCAATAACGCATGAGGGGGTAACTACGTTAGACTATACATAATTAACCATACTAGGAACCCTGCAGAGTATTGGTACTTATTCCGAAATTCCTCAGAGCACTCGCCCAGCGGTACACTGACCCCCGCGCCTCCATGACGAGACGCTGCGCATGCGCCTTCCCATGCACCTGATGACTCACCCTCGAGCAATAACATCTGCTGAAGTCTTTCTATGTTCTGCCGGCGCTGCCATAGTCATGGTCATACTGGTATAGATTATTGCTAACTGCTAACGTTCTCTTCGTGAACATCCACATCCCATCCGAATCCTTAGTCTCAACATCATCGCTGTAACCGAAACTAACTATCATGACCGTACTTTGGCCGCCATAACCCTCGACTTACTCGGCATTGACGCATCATTCTTGCTCATCATCATAATGCTAGCCACCTGTGTTCAGCATCACCGCTTGTCTAAAGCAGCGGTACTAGTAGCACAACTTCCTTCTCACTTTTTTCCCGACATCGCGATGTGCAGCGTGAAGCATTGGCAAGAAAAGCGGGTTCATGTTAGCTACGTCCATCGCGGAGCCCTGCGACAGTCAACCCGAAACCCTAAATTAAAGCGGGAAAACATTTCACCCTATAAAAGGACCCTACATCGTTAAGCCTTCAATCATTTAAACCCTGGCAAGACTCACCTCGAAGGTGCGAAGAGGATCTCGAAGCGTCAGGGCGAAAACGTCGTCGTCCCTTAGCTTTGGGCCCGGAGGCGCGAGCACAAGGACTGGTCGTGTTTTGAATTGGGCTTGAGGGTGCGAGGGGTTTAAGGGTTGGGAGCTTTCGTTGTCGTCGTAGTAGTAGGAGTAGG